CTGTGTTCTGAACTCGGCCCTGATGAGAATATAAATGGTTTTAATGCCGGCCTCCCCGAAATGTCCACAGAATGTTTCGCCGGAAAACTCGATTTCGAACTGTGATTACCGTCTGGGGATTTTTCAGCGTTATTTTCACAACAAAACCTTTCATTCTCTAGATTGCCAGACAAAAAGTAAACGCGGAGGGTTCTTATCTTTTCACTTGGAAGTTGACACCCATCCCCATTTTTTCAGCTATTGACAAGCATCTGATATTTTTCATGGGTGAATTATTTATCAATGTCAATCTTTTATTTAAAAGCCAGAAAATTTGAGACCATTAAAAAAAAATTCTTCATGTAAATCAATTTTTTTCTTCTGCAAATTTTCGAACGGGAGGCCGGCATCAAAATCACCCATATTCTCATCAGCTTAGGAGCCACATTCAGCCCTCAAAATGCCAGACAAAAAAAAAATGAATCCACTAAACAGCCCCTATCTCACAGTCTATTACTCAAACGTGGCCGATAAGCAATCCTGTAGGTGTGTATCATGCTTGGTATCAGAGAGCTCGAAATTTTAAATAAACGAACGTAAATGAACCTGCATCGAGCACACTTTTTAAAGAAACGAACGGTTAATTCAAGCTCAGAGAACTGGAGAACTCAGATAAAAATACCGAGCGCACGCTTTAAATGAAATATGAAGACTAGCAAGAGTGAACATTATTTGTTCTTGCTCATGTTTGCTCCTATTTTTTCGACATTTCGGTGATCTCGTATAATGACATTTGACCATGCATTTGACTGATGAATAATGTACTAAGGGTTGGTAATAGCTGTATTCCTTTCAAGAGTTTCAAGCACTTGAGCTACTCGCTCCGGTGTTTAGTCGCCCCCGATTTGCAGGGAAGAGATGCGTGGTGTAGCAAACACTTTTCGAAAGGAATAAAGCCTAGTACTCATAACTGCGAAATTCGCATTTTTTGACATTTGCGTTGACAATTTGACGTTTCATGCGTGTATCAAACGTCAAATTGTCGAAGCAATGTCAAAAAAAATGCGAATTTCGCAGATTTAAGTGCGTGAAGCCCCGGAGCTGTTCCGGAGATCCTCCTAGGTGTGAAAGGAATACAGCTATTATAAAACTGCTTTGACAGTTAACTTGAAGTTAACTTTTTTAATTACATGTAATTTCAGAAGTTAACTTTAAGTTAACTCTCAAAGTAGTTTTATAATACCCGCCCTAAACCAAGTATGCATAAAGCAAAGGCAAAGGCCTGCGGAATCATGTGGTGCAAACACCCTACGTAATAGCGAGAAACGACACCCTGCTACGTCATTACTGGTTCTTTGGCGAGGTGGTGGTCTTGAGACTTGGGGGAAGTTCCGTAAGTTAACCAAGATTCTTGGTTTTTCCGGTAAGCGTTCCGTAACCTAACCACTCCTGAAATCTGGTTAGGTTATGAAACGCGGTTCCACACATAAACCGCATATTCAGGAACCAGACTGTCACCATAAACGAACCGCTCCATACCAATCGGTAACTCTGGTTAAGATACGGAACGCCGCCTTGATCTACACAGGCCTCATGAGGATAAGCTATCCTGTAGTAGTAGTGTGTATTATCCTTGTCTAGTATTTTTCGTACAAATTTTTGCGCGTGGTGGGCCTTTTTACCATCGGGGCCAAGGTGCGCCGAAATGTCATTAGGTGCGCTAGAGCGAACTGGCCTACGATAACTACGCCACTGGTTCAGACTTAGGGCGGGTATTATAAAACTACTTTGAGAGTTAACTTAAAGTTAACTTCTGAAAATACGTGTAAAGTTAACCTCAAGTTAACTGTCAAAGCAGTTTTATAATACCCACCCTTAAACATGCCGAACAACGTGACGCACTTAAGCACTCCTGAACTGCTCTTGAACGTCCCGGGCTGTTTATAGGCGTTCATTACTTCAGAATTTTGCGCAACTAAACTGTTCGTTTTTCCCTCGTTTTAGGGCGGGTATTATAAAACTACTCTGAAAGTTAACTTAAAGTTAACTTCTTGAATTACATGTAATTCAAAAAGTTAACTTCAAGTTAACTGTCAAAACAGTTTTATAATACCCGCCCTTAGTGAAACAACAGTTGTTTGGAGAACCAGAGTGTGAAGCTACGGGTGTGGAGCATCTTAATTAGTCTTTTGATTGTTATTCGGTTCGTTGTTCTGTTTGTTGTTCGGCGTAATGCTCAAGTCTGGCCGGGGATTCTAAAATCACGATTCGACATACGACTCGACATCGAGACGATTTTTCCGACGATTCTAGGTTAGAAATCTCATTGGAATTATACCTTTCGAGACGACAAGGCCGGTATCGTTGTCGAGTCGTGTGTCGAATCGTGATTTTAGAATCTCGGCCCTGTACTAAGCTTTAAAGATTGGTGATCAAAGCCGCTTTCCAGTTGTGTGCTTCAAGCACGGTGCAACACATACTGTATTCCTTTTACCCGTTGAGTTACTCGAAGCTGCTCAATGTCAAAAGCTTGCACGTTCCTTTTAAGGGCGAGTATTATAAAACTACTTTGAGAGTAAACTTAAAGTTAACTTCTGAAAATACATGTAGTTCAAAAAGTTAACTTCAAGTTAACTGTCAAAGCAGTTTTATAATACCCGCCCTTAAAAAGTGCGTTAGTGTACGGCCACACAGAACGCGTTTGAAGCGGCATAAACGCGCTTGGCGACTAAAGTGTTTGGAACGTCTTTTGCTACTAGAATTAAAATAATGTAATATATAGCGAGTGGCCCGACAAGACGCTTCTTGCGTTTTGCGCTTCTTAAGCGATAGACGAAAAAGAATTTATATTGCAAATGAAAGCAAATCAGTTTGTTTTTTGACCGCGCTTAGCGTTCGTTTTTCGACGATTTATGCCTAGTTTTCTTTCATTTAGGTATTTGAAATGTCTATTCAATATTTAAGTCGAAGGTTTCAATGGCCATTCTATAGTATTCGAAAAATGTATCAGGATGTTGCCACAACTGAAGAAAAAAGTATGAAATTCACACTTTGTGGTTCTCTCTTGGTTCATGGACCCAGGCAGAGAGTCTCATCACCATAATCTAATTCAAGATTTATGTTCTCGGTACGTCATATCTTTCGTACAACTTTATTATCACTCGTCGACATATAGAAACTGCATAGTGTGAACACGCAACACGCAGCTTCTTTTCTTCTTTGGACACAAATCGCAATCTTCGAACGCATAAAAAGCATATGAAGTAGACGCCAAAACGCATTTCAATATGCCGCTTGAATCGCTTTCTGTGTGGCCGTACACTCAAGCACTCGAGTCGCTCATAGTGCATCCCCCTTTCCCCTGGATACACCAAATTTGCGGTGGGTGCAAGAAGCCAGTTTCGGTAATGACGGTAATGTTATTAAAAAATAATGGTAAAATATTGTGTGTTTTTGAGTGACTCCGAGGAGCTCGTTCGGTGTAACTCAATGTATTAAAGAAATACAGAACAGTGTTCTGTGTTTGAAACGCAAAAGTTTAGCAGCTCTCGAAGCGCAATACGGCTGGAACACGAACACGCGCTTGAAGCATTTGCGCACGCAAAAGCTCGATTGCGTGCTCAAAAGCGTCAGCTGGAAAGCGGCTCAAGTATTCGGCTTGACCCGATCATATTTTCCGTAAACACCTTTCACTTTACGTCGCTTAAACGCGGTTTACGTCGTCACGGCAACGTCAACACTTCGAACTTCAAAATTCATTTTGTGCACGCACGGTACATGTATCTATTGCGCACGCTCACAGCTGTCCCAGTTAGGGCGGATATATATAAGGCCTATTCGGGTTTGGAAAAAGGACGGTTCTAGAACGGTTCAAAACAATCGTCCAGTTTATTGATAAACAAAATAACAACGACTCGACTATCACAAATTTCAATAATAAACTGCGATTCTTCTGGACCGTTCTAGAACCGTACTTTTTTCAAACCCGAATAGGCCTATAAAACTGCTTTGACAGTTAACTTGAAGTTATCTTTTTGAATTACATGTAATTTCAGAAGTTAACTTTAAGTTAACTCTCCAAGTAGTTTTATAATATCCACCCTTAGTTATTTTTGTTTACATTATGACCTCTGACCTCGTAAATTAGCAGATTTAGGGCGGGAATTATAAAACTACTTTGAGAGTTAACTCAAAGTTAACTTCTGGAATTACATGTATTTCAAAAAGTTAACTCCAAGTTAACTGTCAAAGCAGTTTTATAATACCCGCCCTTAGGGCGAGTATTATAAAACTTTTTTGAAAGTTAACTTACAGTTAACTTCTGAAATTACATGTAATTCAAAAAGTTAACTTCACCACCCTTGGGGTGGGTTTTATAAAACTGTTTTGACAGTTAACTTGAAGTTAACTTTTTGAAATACATGTAATTCTAGAAGTTAACTTTAAGTTAACTCTCAAAGTAGTTTTTTATAATTTTTTTATTTTATTTTTTATTTTTATTTTATTTTTATAATACCCACCCTAAGGGCGGGTATTATAAAACTACTTTGAAAGTTAACTTAAAGTTAACTTCTGGAATTACATGTAATTCAAAAAGTTAACTTCAAGTTAACTGTTAAAGCAGTTTTATAATACCCGCCCTTAGAACCGTTCTTTGTTTATCCATTTATTTTTGAGATCAGTGGATAATCCATGTCGTTGCCGTAGGTATAAGTTGTGTTCCTTTTACACCTAGGAGGAGCTCCGGAACAGCTCCGGGGCTTCACGCGCTTATTCCTTTCGAAAAAAGTGTTTGTTGCACCACGCATCTGTTCCCTGCAAATCGGGGGCTACTAAACACCGGAGCGTGTAGCTCGAGTGTTTCAAACTCTTGAAAGGAATACAACTAGCTGGTGCAACGAGAAAGTTTCCGCCGAGCGCTGGCGCAAACAGCTGACGACGTGGTTAATGACGTTGACTATGGTGCCACACAATAGCAGCTTTCGCTGACTTGTTTTTGTGCTTCAAGCACGGTGCAGCAACGGGTTCTGTGTTTGAAACGCAAAAATTAGCAGCTCTCAAAGTGCAGTACGGCTGGAACACAAACATGCGCCTAAAGCATTTGCGTGCTCAAAATGGTCAGCTGGAAAGCGGCTTATGCTTATGGCACCTATTGGCCGCGATTACCAAAAACGAGGTCGATAAACAATCCTTATAGTAGTGTGTATTATCCTTGGGTGTGTAGCACAGAGCACCTTTAAAAATCTTCACGGCTTGGCCCGATCATATTTTCCGTAAACACCTTTTTTTTTCTTGCTTTTCACTTCGTCACGTCAACAGTGAACAGTCAAACTTCAAAATTTCAGGTTAGGATTAGGATTTATCAATCATCATTTATTTACAAATTAAAGAAAAAAAAACCAAGTCATTTTTGCTTATTTGCATTTGTTCAAAATTTTTCCTAGTTACTCCTGTAGTTTATTTGAGACTCAATGGCAGACTATTTTTCGGAAATGAACTTTCAAGAGCTCAGAGATGGTGAACGACCAAATGATTATCTTCATTTGATTCGATTATTGAGGGACTATAGGATGTTTGATGAGTTGCGCTCTTTAAATGGTGAAAGACTTGCCCCTCCTGCTTCTAAAGCGGCTGTGGAAGCACTAAGCAATGAATCTATTACTCAGACAGGTAAAACTTTGGATTATTTTCCTACTGGTTGGTAATAGAAGCCAAACACCAAAATTTGGCTATTTTGGGAGCAAATCTTCTCAACATAAGTTACTGAGAATTAACCTTTAATTACTTACCTTATCGATGCTCTTATTGGCATAAAATTAGCCTTGGAAATGGAAAGACTGAAGGAAAGAGTCTTTCCTTTTTTCTGGGAGTGAAAGACCCCTCAGATGTGTCTTTCCGAAAGACACATCCGAGGGGGTCTTTCACTCCCAGAAAAATGTACATGTATTGTGGCAATCCTGGGATTTCAGTAATTTTTTAAAGATTTTGGCGATTTCCTTACAATCATTAAACAATGGGCTCGTTCACTAAAATTTAAATTCTAAATTTAAGTATAAAATCCTAAAGGAGGGACTATTTTAGGCATATATACCAAAAAAAATGATCTACAATGTTGAATGAGTTTTTTACAGGCACTTAAAACTGGCCAAATTCAAAATTATTTAAAACGCGCCAAGTGATGACGTCACCTGAATAATTTCTATTTGGCCCATGTCTGGGAGCAGTTGACCGGCTGGGCTGTGTTACCGTCTAGTACAGTGGTTCCCAAACTTTTTTCTTTTGCGCCCCCTTTCTGAAATCAAGAAGTGGTCGCGCCCCCCTTCCTTCCCCCATTATACAAAAACATTTTTCTTTACTTACTGTAAATCCTCTGAACTGGACTTTGGAAGAGGAAGAATGGACATGACAGTGGGCAGCGAGCGTGCGCTGTAGCAATTACTGTATTCCTTTTATACATCGAGTTACACCAAATGTGTCGCTCTAGAGCTCCTCGGAGTCACTCCAAAACACACAATTCAGAATAATTCAGATATTAGAGAGTTCTCGTGCTGTCCAAATTTCAAATACCGTAACGTTATTTGACAAGTATGGCAGTTCTTACGGTATTAGCCTTAGTGGAGCCGCCCGCTACCTAACGGGAGTTAGCGGATGCCTTACCGTAACGCTATGCTATGTCAAAATTAGTTTACGCTCCATTTACTTCTGTAAGAACAGCAACTTTTAATAATTCCTCGATAAAAAACACCAAGGAAAAATTATTGAAACTCAGGAATTTTCAGGATAAATAAAAGTTGGCAAACAAGCAAAAAAAAGTTGGGTTAGATCACTCAATTCAGCTGTCAAAATGTAAACAGAATAAGGAATTAGAGGATTTTTGTGACTTAGTGTCCGAGAACTATAAAATAGCATTTAAAATACAGTATTGTAAGCGGTACCGTATTAGCATAGCGTCTGAGGCACGAGAAGTTTCTAATATCATTATACTTTAATATTAACATTACCTAAAAAAGCTTATTGCACCCCTCGCAAATTTGGTGCATCAGGGGAAAGGGGGATGCACTATGAGCGACTCGAGTGCTTTCACGCACTTTTGAAAGGAACGTTCACGCTTTTGACACTAAGCAGCTCCGAATAACTCAACGGGTAAAAGGAATACAGTAACAGATCGCATGGCAAAGCTGCTTTGGCTTATGTATGTCCTGTTGTAGGATTGTAGACATCTTTTTTTAAATTTTACCTGATTTTTTTTTAAAGCTTAAAATTTGTATTAATTGTTTAGAAGACTTACGCCCCCCTCAATGTTGCTTCACGCCCCCCAGGGGGGCGCGCCCCCCAGTTTGGGAACCGCTGGTCTAGTAGAATGCGCTGCTGTCAATTGTGACTAAATGTAATGTGACGTAAAAAAAAATAAAGAAAACTAAATATAAAATAGTTGTTTTTGTAACAAGTGCGCGAAATGCCATTTTGGTGATCGAGAACGAAATTTTTTTGACGACGCGTAGTGGAGTCCAAAAATTGTTTGAGATCACGAAAAACATTTCGCGCCCGAGCTGCAAACAATATTTTTTCTACAACTCTATTCAAATATCGATCATTCGAAGCCAAAATTGCATTTCCAATCAAAGGCAGGTGAATTTTAATTATTTTTTGGTATCCTGACAGGTATGTGTCACCATGACACCAGTGTGCAAACTAGCTATTTCGCACACTAGGGTGCGAAATAGCTAGTTCGCAAAACTGGTGTCATGGGAACGTTAAAAAATCAATACCTGGGAAAAAAGTGTCACTTCGCAAACTGTCATGAGTGTGCGAACATCATCATTTTTTTTCAGTTGTAGAAAAAATAGATTTAATTAACTTGTGTTTAAGCATAATTGATGTGTCTCGCAGAAATAGAAAAAGAGAGCTTAATTGTAATAAATACAAGTTAGAAAGTAATAAAAAATGACATGCGCGCGCAACCCGTGGCTGTAGTTTAGCCAGATTGTATTGTTGCAGAACAAATGTAGACAATAAAAATCGAACATTATAACATTAAAGAAATGATATATTCTCAAGTGTTTACTACGCCTCAAATCAGACAAAATAAGAGCTTTAAAGTGTATGTTAACATCGATGGGACTTTTATTTTGATAAATGTTTCATCCGGCAACATCGCTCAATGAAATTGCCAAGGAATATGTCAAGTATAATCTAACATAACCTTAAACGACACTGCAATAAGTTCAAGTAATACGTAAAGTATTAGTTTGTTCTTTGTCTAATTTCACGTTACAAAGAAAGAAGGAACGATTAATTCTGAACTCGTCCCTGGAATACGAATATGACGCAAACTCGTAAAAAACTCGATTTTCATTGGACGCTCACCTGTAACCCACGAGTTGCGCGCGCACACCAGGTATTACGAGACACGTCAATTAAAAAAAAAAAAATGTTATAAAATCTTGAATCCATAATTAATAAATTTAACTATTTTTCATGGTATTTTGCCAATATTTCAGAATTAAATCTATTACAAATTTTCAATGTTGGCAATTAGTGGCAAAACGGTCAAAATGCAAGCGGCGACGTCATAGGGATAAATTCTGAGTTTTTATTTGGAGCTATTTCTTTTTTTTTCTATTTTCTCAAGAAGAAATGTGAATTTTTCAAAAGTAAAAATACTGAAAATTCCGAGGAAAATTCTGTTTTTAGTTGCTTTATTCAAATATGCCAATTTCAAAAGAGCCTAGTCTTTCTTTGAAGTCTCAATGAGACTACCAGGATTTCCTTACAGTTCTTCTAGGATAAGTATCTACTTTGCAGTGGTATTGATAACATTTTAAAATTGTAAAGGTCAAGTTATAGGTAGTAATAATTAACCCTCGATTTTACCTCCTATTTTATATAAATGAGTACAGACAGGGTGTTTGTTTATAACTGGAACACTCAGTAACTTTTTTATTATCGAAAATAAATAAAGGATATGTTTAAATTGGATTTCTTGGCTGAATGAGGTTAAATGCAAGATCTTATTCGCTACAACAATATTTTTTTTTGTCACCGTGGGCATACAAGCTGCGCCAAAATGGTGATTTTTTTGAATGGAATGCGCTGTATATTTTTGCATTTTTGAAATTCTTAGAAAATTAGCTCCACAAAAATATCAAACACTATTTAGATAACAAAAATATACAGAACTTTCCATTTCAAAAAAATATCTTTTTGGCCCACCCTGTATACCTAGGATGACAAAAAAATATCGTTGTAGCGCTTAAGGTTGCAATTTACCAAGAAATTTTCCAACTCAAACATGTTTTATTATTTTTTATTATTTATTTCGTTTATTTAGCAATAGCTAATCGTGCAACTTACATATATAAATTCACAAAAGTTATAATTAGTGTATAGTGTCAATTAAAGTAAACAATTTAAAAAAAAAAAACAACGAACAATTTAGAACTATGAAAAGAAACATTAAAGGAGACAAACCGAAACAACATGAAAGACAAAATGTAATTTAAATTCAAAATACAAATGACAATCATTCCGAAAGACATAATAAAACTTGAAATTTCGTAAAAAGCAAGTCCTGATACTCATACAAAATATGGCATTCGTTTTTCACTTCAAAAAATACAAGATCAAGATACCGCAAAACAAAAGAAATTCAAATCAACAAAACTCAGATCAACAAGAATAAGCTACTCATTTGTGCTTTAATCTGGAACATATATATCACATTGAGTCAGCAGATGAACTTTTAATTTTCTTTTGAAATTGCTAATAGTAACACATGACTTTATTTCATCCGGTAGCTGATTAAACTCATTCATACCCTTAAAGAATACCGATCTTGTTGCTGATGCCCCACATCTATGTGGTATATAGAAGTTGTTCTGTTGTCTAGTGTTGTGATCATGCATCTGGCCACTGTAAACTATTTTTCTTGTAAGATACAATGGAGCAAGTCCAATTTTAATTTTAAAAATAAACACCAGTACATTATATTTTGCATATTCCACAACTGGAAGCCACTGAAGCAATCTAAGCATACTTTTTATAGGAGTATATTTGTTACATGAGAGTATGATTCTCATACATCTATTTTGCAACTTTTGCAGTCTTTGGATATCATTCTGGTTAAGTAAATAAAGTATTGTTGCGCAATAATTGAAGTGTGGCAAAACTATAGTGTTAAAAACAACAATTCTAGACCAAGCTGAGAGAGATGCTGAACAGCGCCTAAGATAATTTGTCTTAAAACTAATTTTAGAAACCAGAATGTTGCAGTGATCTTTAAATTTTAATTTGTTATCAAGAATTACCCCAAGATACTTAATCTTTTGAACTTCTTCCAACTTATTGTTACCCATTTCAATTGAATAGTTGTTCATATTAAAAAGACTTCTGTTATTATGTGTACCAATAAACATAAATTTAGTTTTACTAACATTAATCTTCAAAAGATTCGTTGATGCATAATTGTCCATTTTATTTAGGGCATTATTAACAGTTTCCACCAACAAATCCAAATCTTTTGAAAAGGCGTAGAATAGACTATCATCGGCGAAGTTATGCAATTCAATGTCATGTATTACATCTGGCAGATCGTTTATATAAATAATGAACAATAGTGGACCCAAAACACTTCCCTGCGGTACACCATGCTCGTTAACTATCTCTATTGA